ATATATATGTATATATATATATATATATACATACACCTACATATATTCTATTTATGCAGTACATTACTTAATTATTGGCATAATTTAATTTCTTATATCTCTACTTTTGACAATCAGACAGTGCATACGCAATATTTAAATACGTTCAAAGTTCATACTTACTTCAAGATATGCATGTGTAATTGTATTATCTTAGCTAATCTGTCGTACATGATATCGTTGACGTTCTCTCGACTCTTGACTAAGCGGTTTATCCAGAACACGAGCACCTGCAGCTGTCCACATGCATGAATTGCGAGGAGAGTTGCCAGGTTACACGCAGCCACTGTGATGTTGTGGGCAATAAAGCCAGCAAATAACAGAATGGAATAAAAAATCTTATTAACTGAACTATGAAGAGCATCGACAATCACTCTGGACACTGGGAACATCAGCTTGCGATAAATGAAATTAGTATCTTCCTCTTTGATCTTCGCGCAAATCAGTGGCACCGCCACATAATAGAACGTGACGCCGCCGTATATGAGGACGCTGCAGATGATCACCAGCCGACGGCCAAAGTTTGCGTTCTTCAACATGATTCTTCTTTCATCCATGTATCTCACATTTCTCCAATCACTTTTAATATAATCGATACAATTACGAATGTCATTTTCGCGCAAAAGTAAAGCGCAGTATTTCAATATGGTCACGAAGAAGAATGTAAGAATGTTACCGAGCTCCAATTGATTGTAGAAATTCTTGATTTCTAGGACATGCCACTGGGAATTAGAAGTAAAACCAGCAATATGTAGCAAATTACATTCAGCTATACTACACATTTCAATCGAGGAATGCATCAGCTACCACGTGTCGATTATTTTCATGATTCAGACATTTAGTTGCAAATTGATTCGAAATCATTCTTATAATTTTGCTTGTTTGATCTGGACCGTTGCGAACAAAATATTGAGATAGATCTCCATTATCGCAGTAGCAAATGATATGTACTGACAAAGACTTCAAGCTCGACATGATTTGCGCTTGCGTCACTTTATATATTCATGGAAGAAAAAAGAGATCTACGCAGAGATTTTCTAAGCGAGTAGCGAAAAACTTTGCGTGATTATCTGAGAAGAGTACGTGATGCTTCAAGAATCGTTCTATTTCTGAATGCGTGATTTGGTCTTTGCAATATGTGGCAGAAAGAAAAACATATTCCGTAGAAAAAGAGTGAAACTGTTTTGTTCGGACTATACGGACTATACGGACTCTACGAAATACAAAATTCTCTTTCTCTCTCTCTCTCTCTCTCTCTCTCTCTCTCTCTCTCTCTCTCTCTCTCTTCAACCAGAAATGAAATTTACCTTACAGAAAAGTTTATTTCTATTTCTGTTAAATTACGTTGATCTAAAGCAATATTTTGATTGGCTCATCGGTTAAAGTTTATGCCTTACGGTTACTGTTACAAAATTTTGTTTACACTAATCCTAAACAATGTTTAAATATTATTCTGTATACCGTTATATATTATAAACGTACATATACAATTTATATATTTTATTAATAATTTTATTAATAAATGAAACTTAAGTTATATTTTATATTTATGAAAAAAGAGATATCAGATTTCGGATAATAAAAATCTGAATATTATATACGAAATTGAACGGAGAGACTATTTTTGAGATTTCGTAAAAGATTACATAAATTCGCATAGTGTGACAAGTTTTTACGTATATTATATGATGTATTCACTCAAATACAAAGCAAATACTGTCATCAGCAAGTTTAAATGT